ACACAACTTGCCTTAAAGAGTACTAGACTGGACCTTGTCATATTACGTTAAAGGAAGACTTAGAGTGTTCATTGATGTTTACGATTTTAATATTTCTGAAGGCCATTACAGTGGCCTGGATATGTGCTGAAAGCCAAACTTTTAAATTTTTTGGTTTTTTAAACAAAGAAATATTTTAAATAAATCCTATTTCAACACTGAAATTGTTGAAAACTGTCTCATAACAAAAGGAAAGAAAATTTACATTTTTGTTTTAGTGGTCAGTATAGGGGAATGAAAGCGTCTGTTGTTACCCTTGTAACTATTTTGATAAGTATTAGAGGTTAACCTTAAATACAGCAAAGCATTAAAACCGAAAGTTTTCAACTCGAAGCCTGGCATTCAGCGCTGAGGTAAACGAGTTCCGACACTGTCACAGCTGTGTTCCCGGCAGCGAAGTTCTCTGCGGAGCTTCCAGTCATTTTGAACGTGCATGGGCAGCAGTGCGACATCTCTGGGGAGGCTGTCCAAAGTCGAGACTCGTGAGATGTAAATAGGAACTACACAGTGCAGAGAAGATGGAACCACCAGTCCGTGAGGCCTCTCCCTGAGGGAGTCGCAGGCTTGGACTTGAGAGTATTTGCCAGCAGTGAGCGCTGGTGAATCTCTCCAAAAGCAACCAAGGTCGGCGCACTTGAAGAGCATTTTGCATTCATCAGAAGATTTCCTCATCTGAAAACACAGGACATACTGACCCTTTCAAGTACTTAGTCATTTTCCTGAAATTGTGATCTGTATCAGAATGCTGTGGCAACCAGGTAGGTGTGGCGCTGGCCACGCGCCACGTCTTTGCCCTTTGTAGTCTGTCAGATAGTAAAGTTTCTAACCCTGTTTTTTGAATCTCCAAGAATGGGGAAAGTGGAATGTAGAGATGGAAGTAGAATGTGATGTTGGGATACAACAGCTATTTAATCCTACGTTTTATTTTTTAAGCAAAACACTGAGTTTTCTACCTTATTTTCTAATGTTGATTTCATGGTAATATTGACAGTTGGAGGTGTTTAACATAAAAACTCATTGCTAAAGAGCACTGAGGAAATGGGAGCTAGCACTTGTAATAAAAATAAACACAAGATATTTTCTCGAATGCATATACGTGATTGGGTATTTTAGAAACCAGCATCATCTGTCATCTCCAGAAGATTACAGGAGTCAGCTTGCTAATACAGCAGTGTTAGTTGGTTCCATATTTTTAATTCAGTACTTAGAATTCTAGGTCCTGTATTGCCCAAACTCAGCACAGTTAGTTTCTACCACAGACTCTGTCTTGGGGCACAGTGGTGGCGGTAGTGACTTTGCCTAAACATCACCCAGCTGGACACAGGCTGAGCGGGGCTGCCCCTCACTGTAGGCACTTGGCCAGGGGGAACTGGGTTGCACCCTCCTCGCTCCCTGTCACTCGTCACTCTCCTGCTTCCCAGCATTTTGTTTTATGCCTTGCTCGTTGTACATCTGACTGATAGTACCGCATGCCGAGGTCTTCAGATTGTGAGGAAAGCCGTCTCCATGCTTGACTCGACTGCTGTCCCAGAGGAGAGTCCTGTGTGAACTGAGCAGGGGTGGCTGTGCTTTCCAGCATGCAGGTGACACTGAAAGCCATGGGTTCTGAAGAGGCTAATTTGTTGAAAAGTCCCAAGGGTCTGAATGAAAGCATCTTTAATCAACACTCAACACTTGCAATATTCTAGAAAACCATATACTGTGCTGGTTGAGGCCAAAGGTCAACATTGCTCCACTGTTCACCAATGAGGGGGAGCTGTGGCCATGAGCCACGGCCTCATGTGTCTTGTATCAAGCCCTCATCACATGTATGAGTCTTACGTGCACAAAAAAGAGAAGGCCTTGGTCCTGAAACTGAACACCTTGTGTACTCAATCTTCACAGCTTCTATTGGACATATTTTCTTTTTAGGAATGAAGGAAAATTCTCCCATTTTTGAGCCATTCTTTTGTCAATTCTACGAAATTGCATGTAACTTTATAAATATTTTTAAAAGATATAGTTTTGTAAATATTTAATATTCCGCTAATTTGATTTTGAATTGTAAATGTCAAGTATTCTGTTTTTGGGGTTTTTATGTTTTATTATACTTTGTTAAAAAGGACAAATTGTACATTTTTAGAATGTTTTTATGAGTAAATTTAATGTACTGAAAATAAAAATTTTAAAAAAGGCTCTGTGTTTGATTTCACTAGCTATTTGTCCCAGAATATGAAGCACACACTTTTTCAAATCAGTCTGAATCTCCAAACTAGGGATTCCATCCTTTCTACCTTCTCAGAGAAGTAAAAACGATGACTGATTTTAAACCCATTCATTCTCTATCAAGGTGCCAACTTTTTTTTTTTTTTGAGACAACAGAGTTTGGCTCTTGTTGCCCAGGCTGGAGTGCAGTGGCACGATCCCTGCTCAATGCCATCTCTACCTCCCAGGTTCAAGTGATTCTCCTGCCTCAGCCTCCTGAGTAGCTGGGATTACAGGCATGCACCACCACGCCCGGCGAGTTTTTTATTTTTTAGTAGAGACAGGGTTTCTCCATGTTGGTCAGGCTGGTCTCAAACTCTTGACCTCAGGTGATCCACCCACCTTGGCGATTCAGAGTGCTGGGATTATAGGCATGAGCCACCATGCCCAGCCAAGTTTTGTATTTTTTTTTTTTTTTTTAAGTGTCCCTGGAATTTGCAAAGATGTAAATTCCTCATTTGGGGTTAAAGATATTCCAGCACGAGTTGCCATAAAAAATCAAAGTTGGCATGAATAAATCTCAGATACCTAGGGATGTGGCCCTACCCTGAAGTGGCTCTTTCCCAGGGAGGGAGCTGGCCTGCTGCAGAGGGGGTGACAGCGACACAAGCCACCAGCTGCCACACCACCCTGTGACGTATAGGATCATGCTCCCATGGCATCTAAGACCACACCCTTCTGGACTGGGGAGGTGGCAACATACTGAGCATGTGCTCTGGGAAGTGAGTAGGGACACAGCACCCATGGGGAGCTTTGAAGTCAGGACAAAGGGGACACAGGTGCTTTTGTTGAGCGGCTGGCCTGGGAAGGCAGTTTTACCAGCTCACTGCCTTGTATTTTTCTAACAGACTTTTAGGTGCCTACTTAAATCGGAGCTGGGCTCAGAGTTCCCTAGATGGGGCTGGCCACTGGTCTGAGTGCTGAAGTGTGTTTACGCTGCATCTGAACACGGTGCCAGCAGCTCCCCACTGGGTCCCCCAAGGTTACACTTTCTTGACCACATACACCTAATACCTTTGGTGGTTAGTTTAGAGCAGATTATTGGGTATTTATTCCCACAAATCATGTGGGTCTCGCCATCCATCTATCATATCCTGTGGCAGGTGAGTTCTCGAGAACTTCGAAAGTCCAGACCTGGTGGCAGGGCCTTGGCCGAGGCGAGGAGGGCGACCTTGACAAGGCAGAGACCATCAGAGGGCAGAGTCCCTCCATGTGAGTGCCCCCTCAGCACGACACAACCAGCCTGGATGCCCCTCTTGGGAATACAAGGACCCACTTGGCTTTGGAAAGTACAAACAGTGTGGGATCCAAGTCTCAAATACTGATGCCATTAAACTGAGCTTTAATGACCATTTTTAATTGTGCCTTTATTCAACTTAGTTCATTAAAAATGTACGTTTTAAAGATCCTACAAATAAAGTGACCATTCACTCGTGGAATATAGGTCACCCCTCAGCACGTTATTTTTTTTAAAAAGCAGTATTTCTTATAGGAATCTTGGTGATCACACAGTAGTTACAATAATGTCAGATATGATGTATACAGTCTAAATGAGACAGGCCAGTTAAGAATTTACATAATGTAAAAATATACATATTAAAAGGTAGCCAAGTGGACAAACGCATGCAGCGGGAAAGCAAGTGACAGGAACTCCTTTAACATCAGTAGAGGGCCCAGATGGAAGGAAGCTAGTTTCCCCACTGCAGTAAACAGCTTTCACTAACGTACACAGGTTTTCCATACACATCTAAACACACAAGGTTAAGTTGTGATCTGCTACACGGACGGTCTAAAGTGGTGTAACTGACCTTCCTGTGATACTCCCAAGAAAACTGTAAATACTGAACCCCATGCAGGTAATGGGAAGCACTGGTCTTTCATCATGGGTTGAACCTGAAGAGATTTAACTTCTGACATTACCATTTAAAAGAGTATGGCTCCTTTTGCTATGTTTTCTCCACAAGACATGCACTTACTTAGTGTGGGAGAATTCTGATGGCTGTTTGACCTAACGTGATAACTGAACTACTATTAAAAATGTGGGACCTTTTCAGTAATATTGAGTTACACATTTAACATTAAAAAAAAAAAAAAATCATCCATAGCTTTAAGCCAGATGATAGAAGGGAGTGTCTGAATTTGAATGCTTTTAGTTACACTATTCTGTGGTTTCTACCGCTGTCCTGAAGAATGACACATGTGAACTGCTACTTTCCATACCAACACAGGTGCTAGTTTGAAGTCAGACAAAACCTGAAACAGAAGAAATGCCAGTCTTTCTCCAGGGTCTTTTAAGAAACTAGACCAAAATTATATTCAAATTTCCTTCTGAGCTGTCTTTATGTGTGTAGCTATCTAGAGCACAAACCAAATAGGAAATGTCTACCCCTGCAAGAGCGTGGACTTTGTGTATAGTTCTGTTAGGAGTCAGGCACCATGAGCAGCAGTTGACAGGGCTGTTTTCTTGCACCCCATTTGCCCTGCGTTTGTGCCAACTAGTATGGCAAATGCGTTTTGCGGGGGTTATGCTTCACAACTCAGGCCTAAAGATCCTGTTAGGGAGATCTCTTTAGCGAGTAGAAAACTTCTACCCAAAAAGTCGGTGGCTTCTGTGAACCTGAAAAGAAGACTCAGGGTCTCTGAAAGCCTTTCAATTACTGCTGGAATTGCTAGTTCCTATTAGTGAGAAAAGAGCATTAAAATAACTTGAAGGTCTATTTTATTGGCAACTTAGAATGCAAAGTATTTTATTTTTAAACTTTTAAAATTCGAAAACAAGCTAGCCTACATTAAATAATATAGTTTCCAAAGCTGAACTTGCTCACTTGGAGCTCGGTTTTTCTGCTTCAAATACAAACACAACTTCCTAACACTCCTAGGTGGAAACACTACTGTTTGATGACCTGTGATTAGATGAACTGATTGATCTCAGTTGGTAATATCCCTTTTTTTTCCTTGGTAAGGGTTTAAAAAAATTCTAGAATAGATGCATTTTTCTAGTTTTACACTGACAATTTCATCCCAAATGTCTCCTGGGAGGCATAGACCATGTACAGGAATCCATCTTCATCCTTCTCA